GGCCTGGGCTGGATTCAAACCCACCAGTTCAGGTGTATGTGGCTGGTGCCTTAGCTGCTGGAGCCACAGCTCATTTTTCTATTTTTATTTGTTTTTTGTTTGTTTTTATTTTTGAGACAGTCTCACTATGTCACCCTCCATAGAGTGCTATGACATCACAGCTCACAGCAGCCTCAAACTCTAAGGCTCAAACAATGCTCCTACCTCAGCCTCCCGAGTAGCTAGGACTACGGTGCCTGCCTCCATGCTTAGCTTTTTTTTTTTTTTTTAAAAAGGGGAGAAGGGTTTATTGGGGTTTTTTTGTTTTTTTTTTAAGAGACAGAGTCTCACTTTATTGCCCTTGGCAGAGTTCTGTGGAGTCACTGCTCACAGCAACCTCCAACTACTGGGTTTAGGCGATTCTCCTGCCTCAGCCTCCCAAGTAGCTAGGACTATAGGCGCCCACCCCAATGCCCGACTATTTTTTGTTGCAGTTTGGCCAGGGCCGGGTTTGAACCCACCAACCTCAGTATATGGGGCAGGCACCCTACTCACTGAGCCACAGGCACCGCCCCCAGCTATTTTTTTGTTGCAGTTGTCATTGTTGTTTAGATGGCCCAGGCTGGGTTTCAACCCACCAGCCTTGGTTTATGTGGCTGACACTGTAACCACTGTGCTACAGGCGCCGAGCTGCTAAGTTTCCTATTTTTAATAAAGACTAGCTCTTGCTTTTGCCCAATCTGAGAAATATCTGTTGATCTCAAATTCCTGGGCAGGGATAAGTGACAGTGTGTCTGAGACTAGCTTTCTAAGCCGAAATACCCAGCTACTTTTAGAGACAGGATCTCGCTTTTGCTCCAGCTGGTCTTCAACCTGTGAGCTAAAGCAATCCACCTACTTCAGCCTCCCAGAGTGCTAGGATCCTTTTTTTTTTTTAAAACTGTGGTAAAATACACATAACAAAATTTACCAGCTTGGCTCAGTGACATATGCCTGGCACCCAGCTTCTGGGGAGGCTGAAGCAGAACGATCATATGAGCCCAGGAGTTGAAGTCTAATCTGGGCAACATAGCAATACCACCTGTCTTTATAACAGGGGTCCTCAAACTTTTTAAACAGGGGGCCAGTTCACTGGCCCTCAGACTGTTGAAGGGCCCGACTGTGGGTCCCGGGACGAGTCAGCTGCTAAGCAGGATAGGCAGCAGCAGCAAAAACACCTGGTGGGCCAGATAAATGTCCTAGGCGGGCCACATGTGGCCTGCAGGCTGTAGTTTGAGAATGCCTGCTTTATAAAAGATATACTACTAACCATTTTTACATGTTTAGTAGTTAAGTACGTTCATGCTTTTATGTAACCAATGTCTAGAACTCTTATCCTGTAAAACTGAAGCTCCATACTCATCAAACAACTCCCCATTCCTCTCAGCCCCTAGTTACCCCAACCTAGGAACCACCATTTTACTTTCCTTCTCTATGAATTTGGCTACTATAATGATATGGTATTTGCCTTTATGACTGGCTTATTTCACTTAATATAAGGTCTTCAAGTTTCATCCATATAGTTACATGTGTCAGACCTTCCTTTTTAGACTAAAAAAATTCCATTGTTAGTTATATACGACATTTTGTTTATCCATCAGTGGACACCGGGTTGCTTCTACCTTTTGGCTATTGCGAATAATGCTACTGGGCACACCAGTGTAGAAATAACTCTTGGAGACACTGCTCTCAATTCTTTTGGTTATATACCCAAAAGTGAAAATACTAGATCATGTGGTAATTCTATTTTTAATTTTGTGAGGAACCACCGTACTATTTTCCGTTGCTGCAGCACCATCTTTTACATTCTCAGAAACAGCACACGGGGATTCCAATTTCTCCACATCCTCCCCAACATATGATTTTTGGAGGGGGGGAGGTTTATCGTAAGCCCAGCTTAGTTTTTAATTTTAGTGTTTGGTAAGGATAACAAATTCTGTGTATTTCTACAGAAACACTTTTTTGAAATTCTAATGTCTAACTTATTTTTGCCTCAAGCTGGCACAGTGATGTTTGAGTATGGAATGCGTCTTGGCAGAGAGGTTCGAACTCTCCGGGGACTTGAGAAACAAGGCAACTGTTACCTGGCTGCGATTAACTGTTTACGACTTATTCGTCCTGAATATGCATGGATTGTGCAGCCAGCATCTGGTGCAGTGGTATGAAAATCTCCCATTCTGGAATTTTGGAATTAATTTGTTTGGTTTGATCCTTTCAAACCCATTACATAATTTTTCTTTTCTTTTTATTTTTGAGACAGAGTCCCACTTTGTTGCTCTTGGGCCCCTGGTAGAGTACCATGGCATCTTAGCCCATAGCAACATCAGACTCTTGGGTCAAGTGATCCTCTTATCTCAGCCTCCTGAGTAGCTGGACTACAGGTTCCCGCAGCACCCCTCTATTTTTTTTATAGACGAGGACTCGCACTTGCTCAGGCTGGTCTGGAACCTGTGAGCTCAGGCAATCCACCTGCCTCAGCCTCCCAGAGTGCTGGGATTACAAGCATGAGCCTCTATGCCCAGCTACGTCATTTTTCTTCATTTCATTTAAAATTTCTGGCTCGGTGCCTGTGGCTCAAGAGGCTAAGGCACCAGCCACATACACCTAAGGTGGTGGGTTTGAATCCAGCTCGGGCCCACCAAACAACAATAATGGCTGCAACCAAAAAATAGCTGGGCGTTGTGGCGGGCGCCTGTGGTCCCAGCTACTTGGGAGGCTGAAGCAGGAGACTCACTTGAGCCCAGGAGTTGGAGGTTGCTGTGAGCAGTGAAGCCATGGCACTCTTACCTAGGGGGACAGCTTGAGGCTCTGTCTCAAAAAAAATAATAATAATAATTTCGGTTGGGATATTTATAAACCTGATCTATTTTTTGCAATAATTTTTTTATTTTAAGAGATGGGGGTCTCACTGTTACGCTGGTCTCGAACTGGTGAGCTCAAGACAATCCACCCGCCTCAACCTCCCAGAGTGATAGTATTATAGGCATGAGCCACCGTGCCCAGCCTTTTGTGCAACAATTCGATTGTTATGTGTTGGTACCCCTTTAGTTCTCACATTTAGAATTATTGTAGGAAAAAGTATTGTAGAGTGGTTTTGGAGTAAAGCAACTTGGACTTCAAGTTGCTTAATTAACTTTGCTTGTTCAGTTATTCTCTTGCCTATAGTAGAGATAATAATCTCTCTTGGCTCGGCGCCTATAGCTCAACCGGCTAAGGCGCCAGCCACGTATACACCTAAGGTGGTGGGTTCGAATCCCCAGCCCGGACCCGCCAAACAACAATGACGGCTGCAACCAAAAAAAAGCCAGGCGTTGTGGCGGGCGCCTGTGGTCCCAGCTACTTGAGAGGCAGAGGCAGGAGACTCGCTTGAGCCCAGGAGTTGGAGGTTGCTGTGAACTGTAATGCCACGGCACTCTACCCACGGGGACAGCTTGAGGCTCTGTCTCAAAAAATAATAATAATAATAATAATCTCTCTTTATAGGCTTGATTTTTTTTTTCCTCCAAGTGCTCTCTTGACAGAATCATGTTTCGATATTAAGTAAAATCATTTGAGTATATTGCTTAGAACAGTAACAGCGCCTGACCCACAAATAGTGCTCAATAATCTATAGCTGTTTTTATTTCAGTCTTGTTTGTTAACTCAGTCTGTAGTTATTGCTTTAAAGGACACACATGTTGAGTTTTTCCTACATACTGATAGGTCATATATACCCAGCTACTCCTATTATATGGTTCCTGCAGTTTCCAGGCTGTTGCCAAGGGTAATGGGTGGAGAATACAACTCTGGAGCCAACGAATGTCAAGTGTTTGTATGAAGATCAGATCCACCTCCTTGGACTCAGTAACTGTTATACTTAAGTGAGCAAGTTGGCAAACAAGTCCATTTCTTTGATAGTGACACCACCTTTGTAAGAAGAGTTATGCTGGTTGAAATAGAAGTGATTTCTGTCGAGAGAATTTAACCATGAAAGTTCTGAATTGCAGTTAATGATATCTAACTAAATGCTAATTTTCAGTTAAATAACTTGTTTTGTGTTATTAGTACGATCGTCCTGGATCATCCCCTAAGAGGAATCATGATGGAGAAATCACAGCTGCCCCAAGTAAGTTAGGAGTCTCATGCTGATTCTTTGTTAAGACTGTAGTTATGTTGCTATATTACAATAGAAAAATAATTATAATGCTCTATTATAAGAAACAAGTTACACATATGTTATTTTATAGTAGTTCCAGTTGACCCTTGAACAACGTAGGTTTAAACTGCAGGAGTCCACTTACATGTGGATTTTTTTTCAATAAATGTGTTAGAAAATTTCTTAGAGATTTGTGACAATTTGAAAGAATTCACAGATGAACCACATAGCCTAGAAATCATTAAAAATTTTAAGGAAAAGTTAGATATTCATGAATGCATAAAATATGTATAGGTACTAATCTATTTTATCATCTAATATAAGTTAAATTTTTCAGGAGGCTGAGGCAGGAGCATCACGTAAGCCCATGAGTGCAAGGCTATAGTGCAGTATAATCAAGTCTGTGAATAGCCACTGCATTTCAGCCTGGGCAGCATAGCAAGATGCTATCTCTTAAAAATGTTTTTTAAGATTTTTCTTTGTTTGCTTTTGAGAGTCTCCCTCTGTCTTCCCAGTTTCAGTGCTGTGGTGTAATAGCTCACAGCAACTTTAAACTCTTAGACTCAAGCTATCCTCCTACCTTAGCCTCCCAAGTAGCTGGGACTACAGGTGCCACCATAGCACCCAGCTAGGTTTTTTATTTTTAGTAGAGATGAGGTCTCACTGTTGCCTCAGCAGGTCTCAAACTCCTGAGCTTAAGTGATCCACCCGCCTCGGACTCCCAGAGTGCTAGGATTACAGGTGTGAGCCACTGTACCTGGCCTTTAAGATGTTTAATGTTGAAATTTAACAAAACTGAAAGCAGAGATTTAAGATCCTCTTAACCTTTAGGGTTTTAAGCAACAAGTATCAGAAAAGTTACCACAGGGATGACTGGCTAATGGTGGAAAGTTTTTTTTATTTTTTTTAATGAACTAATTAATTTGAAAAAGGAGAAAAAAATTCTCAAAACTTAAACAACCGGGTGGTGCCTGTGGCTCAGTGAGTAGAGTGCCAGCCCCATATACCAAGGGTGGCAGGTTCAAGCCCAGCCCCAGCCAAACTGCAACCAAAAAATAGCCAGGTGTTGTGGTGGGCGCCTGTAGTCCCAACTACTTGGGAGGCTGAGGCA